TATATTTTATTATATATATATAAAATATATATATACGTCTTTTAGTAAATTAATAATTGTTCATATATATATTACATATTAGACTTTCTTATTATAAAATATACATATACATATATATGTAACATTTGGTATACTTTTCTGAATTTTTTATATATTTATGAAAAACTTAATTGACAGCGATACGCTCTTCGGTAACGCATCGCGGCTTCCTCATTTCCTGATGCGACACTTACCTTCTATTAATTAACTACTATACAATATTTGGCAATATAGCCCCTTATTATATATATTACGTAATATATATAATTAATATATATAATATATTCTATATATATTAAATATTATTTTTGTTTTCTAACGGTATCTGTTACCTGTTATGATATTAACGTATTATTATAATAATATAATTATATATATATACTTATACTCAGTATTATAGTGACTATAGTATATATATTCCATAATACGCTATCTGTTACGGTTTTCTCTACGGATATTCATGTAATGGCATTGCGATTATATATTATTCACGATGACTCTATATTTCTCTGATCATTTCTTTGTGGTGTCATCTCATAAGCCACAATTGAAAACGTCTCATGAAACGTCGCACTCACTTTTCGCCCCATAACTTTCTACGCATCTATTTGAGCATTATTTCCTTACATGTATGAATCATGTCCGCACTATAAAATCATGTACTAAAATTCCATACTACATTCGGGGATATATGTCCTTTCAATTGTCGTGAATGTGCACGTGGATATCAGGCTGCGATTGTATTCACACTCTAATTTTCCTCTGATTTGCACATTGGAAGTTATTCGTAAAGGTACAGGAAACCTATAGAAATCATCTCTGTTAAACGCATGCATAGTTGTTGCTTTCCCATCAATATCTATGAAACTCTTATCCATGCATGCCGAAATTTAATGGTTCGATGAACCTGACACTTGAAATTGCCACGCCTGTGTTTGTAGTCATCAGGTATCATTCTCTGTGCTGGCCTCTAAGAGCAAACAATTCACCTGAAATATCATATATCGGAGTAACAAAACAAATTACACTATAATTATCTAATATTACCTGTAGGCGTTAACCCCTAGGTTGCTTTATTACAAAGACAATGATCGATCGATGTGTGTTAGAAACTTGTGAAATATTTCCAGTTTGTTGATCACGCGTAATCAAGACCGCGCAATTTCTAGCTTACGTGTATTACATGGTTTGATATGACATATTATCAGGAGTTAATAATAATAGATTCTATTATTATTCACTCCTGATATTATCGATAGATGAATATATGGTAGTAACTTATCATCGGCGGCAGACAGCTAAATCCAAACACTGACATATCGAAACGATGCATTGAAGGTAAAACTAAGGAAATCTGAAACAAAAAAACGGGATATTGGAAGCATGGAATTAGAAGATGTGGGACTAATTGGCCACGAGAAGAAGCCAGGCACGGCCGAGGGATCGGTAGGAGGGACAGGCGACTCCCGATCAACTGAGTTCCGCATGTCCGGTCGAGGCCCGAGAGATGGCGTACCGAGGGTATTGTCTCGACTGCGCACTTCCACCGATGCTTGCTGCTTTATGTTCGCTTATTTCCGTTGCGTAACCTCCCCGTGCAGCGTGTTTTTTAATGATTATTATATTTTTTTAGTTCTTCAGCGCCCTCGTATGCGGCTGTGCGACGATCGCACAGATTTATTTTTGCAGAGCGCAGCGGTGCTGCCTCTATTGACTAGTCTATACGCTACTTAGCGCATTCTGTCTAACATCTCATAGTATCGCTAACATTGCTTTTTTGTTTACCTATCACGCTTAATGCTCAACGCATTCGCATCTATATTCGTCATTTATTTTCGTAAACATTTCTCTTCGCATTTTCTGAGCTTCCATTTATGTAATATGCATACATTTTTTGTTTATCATTTATTATTACTCGCAATAACTAAATTCGTCGCACTGTATTCCGGCATCAACCTTTTCTGTTTCTAGACGGCGAATCTAACGTCTAACGTTTAGGTTCCTTTATGGTTCAGTGGCTAATATTCGTAGATTGCTCTTTCAACGCTCCTGTAAAGTCATTCTAACACACTATCTCTGTTCATTTTCGCCATTATTTGCCATTTTTTGCATTTTTTCCTTTTTGCCTTGTGTTCTCTGGCATTTCTGTCATTCAATTTCGCGTATATATATATACTATATAATCCTACGAAACTCGCTCATCGTGCGTTATGTTTTCGCTCATGTAACATGAACACTCTGTTAGTAATTTATGTTACTACTCTTCTCCCTACTTCGCAGTATTTCTTCGTCAGTTAGCATTTAAGTCGCTCCATTAAATACATTTTCACTGCACTGTTCTTTAGAACACTCTCTCACGTAACTCATATTTGCATAAAAACATTCGTTTAGAACGGCAAATTCTCATTTGTTCTAAAATTTCGTTATACATCGCTTTCTTGACATTGGGCAACAACTGCTACGGGCGGTTTATACAATGGGTGGTTCTTCTCAGTTACAATATTCCACTCTAATATTTTTGAATGATTTGCATTGGAGGAGGAGAGTGACAGCGTGGATTACACAGGATCGGAGAGAAGCAGCATAGAGCTCGAGGACCACGATGCGCATGCGCCAACAGAAGCCGGCAAAAAGCCCGGTGCAGCTAAGAAGAAGCCTGGCAAAAAGGAGGAGAAAGAGGAAGAAGCTCCGGGTGGCTTTAAGCGTAAGTGTATACAATGCGATGCTGAGATTAAAAATGACAATATTATACATGTACCAGTTAATGCCAAAATCGCTACAGTTTTGCGATACAAAATGGCTACAATTCTCCTGTCAATTCTTTGGAAGAAATGAGAAATGATTAACTAGTTTTAGCGGTATTTTCGCGAAGCACTGAACCCATTACGCGTATGTGGAACATGCGATCACAACTCGCTATACGAGAACTTTATCTTTGTCAAATATCTACACATCGAAACAGAAACTGCGCATGTTGATTGGCGAGATAGGTGTTGTTGGTTATATCCATTAGTGCAACATATTCCGAAGTATGTCCGCGACGAGATGGGATGCCAAAGGTAGAAAAGTAATCACTGTACCCACACGCAGTAACTCGCGTATATAGTTCGCTAGCGATTAATCCTCGTTGATTTGCTGTAGTAAAGAAGAGAGGACAGCGTAAGGAGATACCGCCTCCGAAAGAATTAGCTACTGACTTCACGAAGGTAAGCCATGCCAGTCGGTGTGTAGGTGTGTTTATGCCTGCTTGACACTCGGCAACCGTGTGTGATTTTGATTATATGCAATAATAGTAATGATCATGTAAACATGTAAACCCATTATAAGGGTTTAATAGGTGCCTATGTGCAATACGTTTTGAAAGATGCGGTTTGAAATGTTATGAGTCATAAATCTTGTTCATCAACTTCGTTTTATTAATAATTCATTGTTTGTTAGTCGGACTAACTCTTATGTCGAACCCGCTAAGGTAGTTTTAAACAAACATTAAACTCCGTCGTGGGCGTGTATATAATATATACTATTCGACTGTAACCGTACATGTATTCTTTCTTTTATGAAAGTTCACTTCACATTCATCGATGATTCTTACTAGTAAGATCATCAACTAATCTATTCTGAACACACACACACACACACACACACACACACACACACACACACACACACACACACACACAC